AGAATTCACATCCTGATGTCCAGACTCTCAGTGCAGCATTCTGCTCCCTGGATCACAGTACCTTTCCATCTGAGTACGAAACACAGACAGGCCACCCTAAGCTCTGTACTACTTTTCCTACAATTATCAAACAGTAGCTTTCCCATACCAGGTTTGCTTCAGAGGCTCAAGGGCCTCCCAGCATAGCTACAGTGATTGGCCCCAAGAGGATCCTCAAGTCAATAAATGCCACGTTCCCTCCAATCATTCTGGTCTAAGTCTTCAAGTGCAGGAAATCTCAATTGGATCCACAGACTCATACTCAGGAGGCTCCTTAGCTCAGAACCGCAGGCCCAGAATGGCCAAGGAACAGACTCTAAGCTTAGGAGTGTCTCTCTGCCACAGTTAACTGTCCACCCACTGGCAAATCCACAAACATATGCTGAGTAGTAGGTCTATGTTTGTCTGTCTCTCTCTCTCACACACACATGCCTGTACACTAAAGAATTCCAGTGGGCCTTGGGAAAGGAATTACAGTACGGTGGAACTGCCGCTGGAATTGCAGCTAAAGCAATGCATACGCCCTCCAGAGAACCAAAGTGACTCCCCAGTCAATAATGCTGCCAACTTAAGGAAATGAAAGACAATCTAATTCCAGCCGTACCAGAGACATCAATGGTAATGAGAAACAGGTACAGATAAGAGTCAATAACTGTATCAACCACAAGTGTCCAACTGGTCCTAAGGACACAGTTTAAGAAATCACAAGAGTGATGCCCTCCCTAGATCTTGAAAACTATTATTTATTAATTTGTTCCACACTTTGAGTTAACTTTATTCCCAACATCCTGGCTTCTCTTCACAGCAAGCCACATAAAAGATCTGACCAGGATGTAAAGCTGGAATCCGGTCTAGGCACCAGGGACAGAAGCAGCAAAGCCACTTAACTCAGTGGGCCCATTGTGTACTGTATCATCCTGATGGGGAAGTCTGCTCACACAGCCAAATGAAAGCTCTCTTGTTTTAGTTTATGTCCGTTTCCTCTTGTCCAATTTCCTAAAGACATGGAAAACAACTCACGAGCACTCCCACATTCCCTTCATTAAAACCCTTCTCATACCTCATAAGAATAATAGAAATCACCATTTCACTTTCTCTTCTCAAGACTATTAAACAACCCCAAATCCCTGACATCTTTTCCCTCCATATGGGCCTTTACACTTTTTTTCAAATTAGATAAAAGAATCTAGTAATTTTTAAAATTGGGAAAAGAGCTTCCCAGGCCTTGCTCATTTAAACCCATTCCAATCATACTGCTCCTTACCTTCCCATTCAATATCACAAAGATGCTGGTATTGTCTCTAACCCTCAGGTCTTTTTCTTCCATAATTCTAGGCCTAAACCAAACTATCCCATGTTTTAATTGCTGGGTTTTGCTCCCTATCATATGTGCTTCTTCCCAATTTTACCCAGCATTTGTTGGACAGTTTCTCCAAACTGATTTAGTCCTGTTTTCCAAAATACTAAGAAGCCCGCCTAGTAATGTGAATGACATGTTGTAGCTTCCAGATCATCAATAAAGACCGAAAATAGCAGTGTCTGCAAATTATCACCGTGGACCACCTGATGCGTCCCCTCGAGCTGACAGTGAACCACTGGTGCCTTTTAGATGCTGCTGTTAAGCAAGCTGCTTAACCACTTAAGAGTGGGGCAAAAATCAGGTGAGGCTGAAAGACCATCAGGACAACAAATGGTCTGCCGACTGCTCTAGTAAACCCACCTCGGGGCAGCTAGGCGGTGCAGTGGATAGAGCACCAGCCCTGGATTCAGGAAGACCCGAGTTCAAATTCGGCCTCAGACAGAGAACACTTACTAGCTGTGTGACCCTGGGCAAGTCACTCAACCCCACTGCCTAACCAAAAAAAAAAAAATTGGAAGAGAACTATCACTTCCTTTCTCAATCTAGTAAACCCACCTCTGCAACCTAGTGTTTTAGTTTTCTAGGTGATGAAACACTGATGATTTTTTTTTAATGATTTCCCAAGTACTGCCATTAAACTGTAAGAGCTGACATTTCTATTTAAGAATATCTGGAAGAGTCTAAGTCAGGAACCAGGCAGAACTGGCAGTAAAGGAAAGACTGATCTGTAAACATTCCAAGTCACCCAAATGCTTAATTATAAATAGATTATAATCACCTCCCCTAGGCTCTCAATGATGTGAATCTTTAGCCCTGTTTTCTTTAATGAAACCCACTTAACCTGACTGAAATTATTCTGTTTAAATCTGATTTGAGACTAGGAAGAAGAATTAAAAAGAAAAAAAAAACATTTACCGCTTCATACCAAAGGTGAAGAGACCCTGGGGAAAGCCAGGTCTATCATTTCCTAAATCTTCTGTTATGAGGAATTTATGAAATTCCATAGCATCCAAAAACCTGGCCATGCGTCTGAAAAGACCTCAGCTAATTAAGCATGTTGTCCACTTGAAAGAGCATGGTGATCTGTGAGCCAATGAACAAGACCCCATTAAGCAGCCAGACATCTTAATACTGGAAGATGGCACTACAAACCTCCCGTTAAGATCTGCTTTTAAATGTCTCCAATAAAAGGCTTTGTATCACTTAAGGAACTTAGAGCTGGTGGGGCATACATTTATGTATACGTGTATATCTCAACAGACACAAGTGAATAGGCAGTGAACGGGACCCAAAACGGAATGGGAGAACAGTGGGCTACATCATCTTTGGGAAACCGTGTAATACCTACTACATTGACCCCAAGCTTCTCCCTGACAAAAAAGGGAAAAAGGCCCATTTTTTTCCCGACACGTATTCTTTCAGGGACAACACATGTCTAGGAGCAAATGGAACACCATCACTTCTAAAGCCTTACAGTTGCAAGTACACCAAGAAGAGATTGCCTCTTCCACGGTGGGCACCAAGCAGGCTGCAACACAGTACATACAAAGAAGCACTCGGGAGGAGAGCAAACGCCCTAGTCTGAGACACCGGGAACTGAAAAAGGGGGGCGTGGTCCTGCAGCGAGAGACAAAGCCAAGCGCAACTGATGGCTGGCCCGCCAGGAAATGCTTCCGGCGTGTCAGGCGGAACCCTGTGGAAGCCATCTGAGACGATGTGGTCGGGCTGGCATCAGCACCACCACAGCACCCGCCTAGTGGGGTTCAGAAAGCTTCTGAAGATCTGGCACATCAAGAAAGAGTCACTCTTTGCGTATTCCCACTCACGACCGATTAAAAATGTCCAGAAACTGGGTCACTCATGCTGCAAAATGCGATGAGCCATATATCAGTGAGAATACTCTGACAGAGTACCAGCCCTGGAGTCAGGAGGACCTGAGTTCCAATCCAGCCTCCGACACACGACACCCTGGGCAAGTCACTTAACCCCACTGCCCAGCCAAAACAAAAAAAAATACTCTAGGACCACTCTGAGGGAAAAAAGGGGAAGGGGCAGCAGAGAGCTCATTGTTTCAGAGGAACTGTTCACTATTGAATGTTTCACATCTACAAAGCAATCCTAAATGGAAAAGCTGTCATAGCTAGAAAAAGTTGCATCGTGTATTATGTGAAATTTGCCAACATGTTATTATGTGGGTGTTCTTCCTTACTTTTTGTAATTGTTAACCTTACCTTGTAGAGATGACTATTCTAAGGAAAATTTAACGTAAGGATTAAATCCTTTCATTCTCAACAGAATTCAACATTTCCTTTTCCTTTTTCTTTTTTGGTGAGGCAATTGGGGTTAAGTGACTTGCCCAGGGTCACACAGCTAGTGAGTATTACGTGTCTGAGCCCGGATTTGAACTTAGGTCCTCCTGACTTCAGGGCCGGTGCTCTATCCACTGCACTACCTAGCTGCCCCCAGAAATCAACATTTCCAATAAGTACCTAAGTTTTTCAAGCGTCGACCCACCTTAGTTCACTTCTCAATCATGGCAACCACAACAAAACAGAATCCTCATATTCCCTGATACAGGGTTAGCAGAGTAAACTCATTTCAATCACTTATAATTTTGCCATTTACCTCCAAAAACTTGAGATTTTTTTTTCAAGATTAACCCAGAGTTCTACAAGGTACTTCTAAGAAGTCTAGTCTGCTCCAGACTTGTGATTTCATGGGCTTCAGCAACTCTCAGTGTGTAAACTCCACCAGCCAACGCACATGAGCAAACTGTATCTGCTAGTCTTAAAGCTGCCAGGGGCACTGTGAGGTGAGTATGCATCAGAAGCAGGCCTTCGGATCACCAGATGCCATGCTGCCTCAATAACAGCTGACTGGACAGTGTCACCATAAAGAGGTGTGTGTTTCAGCTAGAGCCTCCATCTCATGCTCCAAACTCACAACAGGAGGGTTTTAGTCTTCATAAACCCAAAAAGCCACCAACATACAAGTGCTGTAACTGGCTTGAAGGAAGACACACTAGACACTAGACTAGACGTGTACAAATACATTTGTAAGTGCTTTGGGTTTAATACATAACATATTCTTTCTAACCAAAAAAGGGCCGTGTCAGTCCACGGTTATCATTGCTCCATACTAGCCCCACAGGAGTTCTGAACAGATCGAAGCTACATCTCCATCAACAGGTTGGCCAGAAATAGACCATCACAGCAGAGGGATTATCTTAGACTGAAGACACAGTAGAGCAGGCAGGGCTATCTTAAGAGTGGGAGGGGTGTGAGTAACTTTTTGAAATGCGATAACCCTTCTCATTTTTCTGCTTTCTAATCACTACTTTCGGTGGTTACCAGGAAGAACAACAATTGTACTATTTCTACTTTGTTACTCTGTGAAGGCCCTAATCTGTTAGCCAGACTATCACAAAACGTGGTAATTCATCAATTTTATTATTTCCTACCCTCACCAATTATAGTCTTTCCAGTCCTTCCAACATTTCTTGAGTTTTAGCATATCTAAAATGCATCTTCCTTCCTAATCTGTATACCTAAGAGATGACAAATGAATTTCTATAGATAGATCCTTAGATATATATACTCACCTTAAAATCTGTATTGTTGATGTATTCAAACACCAAAGCTGGAGTCTTTGACTGTAAGAGATAGAAGTGATTTTTAAGAAAAAAAAATACAGTTTGCTTTTGCTGTATACTCCCAAGTTCCCACTTAGATTCAAAACCACAATGCTCTGGAATCTCAATGAAGAGTTCATGCCATCAGCCACGGTTTAATAATTCTGATCAGAATCCGGGCTGAGTTGGGCCACAATGTATTCGAGGCGAAGACATACAAAATGAGTGCCTAATGAAACCCGCCTAATGCTCCTGATTATCAATAGGCTTGGCCCATTAAATTAGAAATTGCACTTCTCAGCATTACCACTTGGTGACCAGAAATGATGTTCTAAGTGTTATATCTTGGCCTGTTCCGAGTAAATCAAAAAAAGCTGACAGAGTGATTCTGGATTTTGTCTAGAAAGCATTCAGTGAGCTAAAGCAGAAAATTGGACCCTTCGCTGAGAGAGACTAGACTCTGGACACTGCTGGACTTCATATGACCCAGGTGATGAAAGGCTGTTTATAATTAATACTGTAAATGCTGTACTTTATCTAGTTAAAGAAGTCTTGAGAATCTTTGCCTAAAATGTACAACCACCCCAAATCTGTTGTCTAAATCCTGATGTTCATATACCAGGTTGGTTCAAAAGTAAAATCAAGGAATGATCAACTTGGGTCAAGTTCATTCTCAAATAGAAGGAAAAAAGCAGGTTATAGTTTAGAGAGGGAGACAAGAGAGAAGACAGTAGTCATGAAAAGCTTTACAGCTCGTGTCTGATCTGATAGAAACGGGCAGTAGTCACCTAGGAGCTAAGCCCCTAGAAGTCCAGAACAGGCCCCATCTGGATTACCCCTTAACCAGCCCAACAAACAGTGGTGGCAGGAACTAACACACTGATTCACCACCAACACCATCCAGGTGGACTGAAGAGTCCACTTCCTCCTCTTCTACCACCAGCACAGGTCTCTGTCACCCAGAGGCTGGCAGGTGACTATTGCTCCCTTAGCTATCCCAACTGCAATGATCAGGAGCTGCCACAGCCAAAGCAAGCATGCTCGCTGGGCATTCATCCTGAGGGTGCTGTTTACCTCTCAGGCCCAGGTAATGGCCCCTACACCAAGGATGAATGGGACACAAGTATGTTCTCTAGCATTCTGCGTATGGTTAAGAGCCACTAAAGTGTGTCCACAGGAGAAAACAATGTCATTTGAATCCACACTGTTTGACATGGAGTTGCTTTTAAATGTGACAATCCTGCAGCAGGCATTGATTTCTAGGCATTAATGGTGACCATTCTCTCAAGGAGACAGCTGTAATTCAATGCTGCATCACAAAAATTTCAGCTATACATGCTGTCATTTTAATTCTCTAAACTCCAAGAAGGCAGGTATCATGTTTTACTCATTCTCCATATCTTCCTAACATCCAAGCACAGTGCTCTATACACAAGAAGAAAAATTCACAAATGTTTGCTGGATTGAATTAGGCTTATCTTACCAATTGTCTCAGGTCTTTAAGAAAAAATGAAGAGACACCTTAATTTGTTTAGCACACACCACAGATGAAGACTAGTAAATTTCTTCAAAGGAAATTAGGTTATTATGGAAAAGGAGAAAGTAACTAGGGGTGTCTGAAGAAAAACAGAAAAGCAAAAGAGAAGAAGACATGAGATGGAAGAAAAGTGAGGGACTTCTTCAACCTGAACTAGTCAGTCAAAATAACTAAAATTTAGTTATCCCACTAAAGAAACTAATTCAGCAACATCAAATCTGAAATAGGTTAAAAAAAAATCCTTGGGAAATTTCAGCAGAATACAGAATATGTAAACCCTGAAATACTTGCAATATTGTTATAGCATTAAATCTTTAGGATGAAGAACAGGGGTCTTATTTTCATTTGAAGGTATTTTTCAAACAACTATGCTCTATGGAATCCGAGGGTTCCAAGAAAAATTAGCGGTAGTTGGTATTTTGGACTGCCAAAACTCTTTTCAGGTTAAAAAAAAATCATTCCACAAAAGATAAGCATGATCAGCATCCTAAATAAAGGGTATTTCTGTTCTCTTTGGTTTTTAAAATAACCACAAAAATGGCAGGCTGTTGAGGCACTACGGAGGCAGAAGAAAAATCCCAGATTATAAGCACAGCTTAAAAACATTTCACTACCCTAGTGTGGGACCCCAAAGCCCCTCAGGCACTTACCACTGGGTCTTTCACAGTGTCAATGAGCTTAATGATATTTGTTCCACCTCGAAGATTTTCCAGAATCTTAACCTCTCGTTTTATCTTCTTTTTCTTCACTGGCTTAAATACATAAGAGCAATTAGAAGTGAGACTCCTTTTGAAGTTAACTCTGGTTTACTTGTATCCTACACAACTAGGCTGTTTGATAAAATGTTTCTCTAAACCTCAAGAAGGCAGGAGGTCAAACATCCGAGCCCATTAGAGTGAGTTTAAGTTCCAGGCCTTTGCAGCCTCGTGGAGCTCGGATGCCAGAGACCCTTAAACTCATCCCATTCAGGTCAGTCTGTTCTCCAGATCTGGCTTGTCTGCTAGACAGACAAATGCCACCTGGAAAATCTTAACACTCTCTAACATCTTAACATCTCTGAACTAGCAGCTATACATCTTACAGTCCACAGACCCCCCCACCCCAAAACTGAAACAAGGCAGGAAGACACCTGTTCTTGCACTGGTTCACCTTCCAGCAAGCAAGTGGAGGCCAGTCCATGGCAATCCAATTTCGAACTTGGGTTAGTCTCAGCTGCTGGCTCCCATGGACTTCAGATCTAGGACGTGAAGTCGGCAGCAGACTCACTAAGCTCTCACACTGGATCCCACTTCTTTTTTCTTTTCTTTTTTTTAATGTAAATTTATTTATTTTTAGCTTTCAACATTCACTCCCACAAGTTTTTGAATTCCAAATTTATACCCCATCTCCCCCCTCCCACCCCAAGATGGCATGCATTCTGAATCTCCCTTCCCCTAGTCTGTCCTCTCTTCTATCTCTCTCCCCTTCTCTTATCCCCTTCCCCTTCTACTTTCCTGTAGGGCAGGACAGACTTCGGTACCCCATTTCCTGTATTTCTTATTTCCCAGTAGCATGTGAAAACATTTTTTTTAAACATATGTTTTTAAAACTTTAGGTTTCAAATTTTCTCTCTTCCTCCCTCCCCACCCACCTTCATTGAAAAGGCAAGCAACTCAACATAGGTTGTACATGCGCAGTTATGCGAAACATGCCATAAGCAACATGGTGAAAAACTAACTCTATTTCCCTTAATCCTATCCTGCCCTCCCATTTATTCTATTCTTTCTTTTGACCCTGTCCCTCCTCAGAAGTATTTACTTCTGATTACTCCCTTTCCCAATCTGCCCTCCTCTCTATCATCCCCTGCTCTCTTGTCCCCTTCTCCCCCATTTTCCTGTAGGGTAAGACAGATTTCCATACCCAATTGAATGTGTATGTTATTCCCTCCTTAAGCCAAATCCTATGAGAATAAGATTCCTCATTCTCTCTCACCTTCCCCGTTTCCCCTCCACTAAGAGACTTTTCTGTTTTTTTTTTGTGAGATAATTTACCCCATTCTACCTCTCCCTTTCTTCTTCTCCGAGTATAATCCTCTCTCATCCCTTAATTTTATTCTCCAGATATGACCCCTTAATCTTCAACTCACCCTGTGCCCTCTATCTATCTATCTACATATACATACATATAATTTTTTCCTCCAACTACCCTAATACTGACAAAGGTCTCATGAGTTATAAATATCATCTTTCCATGCAGGAATGTAAACAGTTCAATCTTAATAAGTCTCTTATGATTTCTCTTTCCTGTTTACCTCTTCATGTTCCACTTGAGTCCTGTATTTGAAAGTCAAATTTTCTATTCAGCTCTGGTCTTTTCATCAAGAATGCTTGAAAGTCCTCTATTTCACTGAATGACCATTTTTTCCCCTGAAGGATTATACTCAGTTTTGCTGGGTAGGTGATTCTTGGTTGTAATCCTATCTCCTTTGCCCTCCGGAATATTATATTCCATGCCCTGCGGTCCTTTAATGTAGAAGCTGCTAAATCTTGTGTTATCCTGATTGTGTTTCCACAGTACTTGAATTGTTTCCTTCTGGCAGCTTGTAATATTTTCTCCTTGACCTGGGAACTCTGGAATTTGGCTACAATATTCCTAGGAGTTTTCCTTTGGGGATCTCTTTCAGGAGGAGATCTGTGGATTCTTTCAATTTCTATTTTGCCCTCTGGTTCTATATCAGGGCAGTTTTCCTTGATAATTTCTTGAAAGATGATGTCTAGGCTCTTTTTTTGATCATGGCTTTCAGATAGTCCAATAATTTTTAAATTCTCTCTCCTGGATCTATTTTCCAGCTCAGTTGTTTTTCCAATGAGATATTTCACATTGTTTTCTAATTTTTCATTCTTTTGGATTTGTTCTACATGTCTGATTTCTCATAAAGTCACTGTCTTCCAATTGCTCTATTCTAATTTTTAAGGAAGTATTTTCTTCAGTAATCTTTTGGACTTCCTTTTCCATTTGGCCAATTTTTCTTTTTAGGGCATTCTTCTCCTCATTGGCTTTTTGGACCTCTTTTGCCATTTGGGTTAGGCTATTTTTTAAGGTGTTATTTTCTTCAGTATTTTTTTGGGTCTCCTTTAGCAAGCTGTTGACTTGTTTTTCATGATTTTCTTGCATCACTCTCAGTTTTTCCTCTACTTCCCTTACTTGCTTCTCAAAATCCCTTTTGAGCTCTTCCAAGGCCTGGGACTGATTCATATTTTTCTTGGAGGCTTTGGATGTAGGAGCTTTGACTTTGTTGTCTTCTTCTGGTTGTATATTTTGATCTTCTTTTTCACCAAAGATAATATAGTCTGACTCTTTTTGCACTGCTTGCTCATGATCCCAGCCAATTACTTGAGTTTTAAACTCTTTGTTAAGGTAAGAGTCTGCTTCCAATGTGGAGAATGTACTGTCCCAAGCTTCAGGGGTTTGTGTAGCTGTTTTCAGAGATACTTGTAGGGACCTGTAAATTTTCAGTTCTTCCAAGGTGGTATGATAAGGGGCGAGGTGTTTACTCCTTTCCTGCCCTGTGACCACAAGTATTCCTTTCTGTCCTGTAACTGTGAAGGAGGGTTCCTCTCCACAGCCACTCCAAGCTGTACCATGCCAGCAATCCTCCTCACCCCAGCACCACCGCCCAGAACTGTAACCCAGATCCAAACACAGGCAAAGCAAGAGATCCCTGCAGTCCCTCTCTGATCAGCCACTGGATTCCCCCTCAGTCTCTGGGCTGGAAGCTTGGGAAGCAGCTGCCCCCCCCCCCCGGGCCAAGCTCTTGGGGAACTGACCCCACCTTCCTTTCTCAGCACTGACAGAAACAGACTTTTCCCACCGACCTTCTAAGCTTTCTTTGGCATTGGTGGATTGAGGAGTCTGGAAACCTCCACAGCTGCCTGTGATTCAGTCCTCTGAGGCCCGCTCCAGGTTCACTGCGCTCCCAGCCCAGCACGATACCCTTTTCTGATCAATCATCCAGGTTGTCTTGGGCTGGAAGTTTGTTTCACTCTGTCTTTTCGTGGGTTCTACTGCTTCAGAATTTGTTCAGAGCCACTTTTTTTATGAGTATTTGGAGAGGTTTGGGGGAGAGCTCAAGCAAGTCACTGCTTTCACTCTGCCACTGTGGCCCCGCCCCCCACTGGATCCCATTTCTAAAGAAACAGATGTTGGATCAGCACAAAAGAGATCAGCTTGTGCTCTGACACTGACTGAAAACCTCTTCACATTTAGGATTCAGCAGGAGACTGCCAGCTGAGCAGTGTACTGACTCAAATGATGTTTCAGAAGAAAAGCATTATCCCTACTGCACGTCCCTTTTTTCAGTGAGTGACAGACAAGGCCTCCAGAACAACACATTAAACATGACTGCAGAGTGCAAAGCACACGGACGAGCAGGGGCAGAAGAGAACTCTGCAAAGATATGTGTCTGTGGGAACAACAAGCTAAGAATGAGACATCAACAGCCATCCACACATCTGCACAGGCAAACGGAAAGTGATGCCAACTGGCGGGCCACAGTGCTACAAGATGTGCTGAGCATTCTGTTCAGGTGAACTTGGTACACATACACACATACACACAGACACACGCACAAGCCAAAGGGACCGTCACCAATCACACGCTTCTCCTGACGGCGTCCAGGACTGCGCTCACAGAGCTCAAAGACCATGCAGTGCAAGCGCACACCGCCCCTTTTAGAGATCAGGACGCCGAGGCCCAGGGAAGGCGTATGACTTGCCTGTGGTCACACCAGGGATTAAGGACCAGAAGCAGAGCTTCTGGGTCCCCTGGCCCCAGAGCTAGTGCTCTTTCCACTGCAGTCAGCTGCCTCAGCTATAGTTTACCACAGTGCTATAGCTTAGCTCCAGGTTACTAAACTGACAAAAAAAAAAATCCACAGTAGCCCCCTCCCCCACTCTCACAGTCTGAGGAACACCTGCCCCCAGGGATCAGGGTTTCCATGAAAATGAGCTCCTCCCTACAAAGGCTGAGGCCCAGTGACCTAGAGAAAGGGGCCTTCTGCCTATCAATTATTCAGCACATGCTAACACAACAAGCAATGCTTTTCAAAGGAAAGCAACTCGTGGAGTGGTCATCTGGCAGTAGAAAACAGCAAGGAACTTCCTAGAAATAACAGCAAAGAAAGCACCAACCCTGCCAACTGTAATCTTGATACAGAAGTACTAGGCCAGCTGTAGGGAATGGTCCCCTGAATGAGATGCTTTAGCAAGGCTATCCCATACAAATAAAGAGCATCTCTCATGCAAACCAGATATTCTGAGGTAGTCTTTGTAAAGCCCCTTCCAAACCCTCCAGTGCTCCATGAATCCTAGCTATTCTTCTCTTAGTTAACAACAGTGAGGGCAGACACAGTGCTCCTGGATGGCCCATTTCTGCCATGATATGAGTAAAACCTATTCACTTGCTTAGGATCTCAACTTTCAAATACCATTCTGGTAGTTGGGGATGGCAGCCCATACCTGGAAGGACTGGTGTGCAAGGACAGGGCTATATTTTCTTGGCTTTGCCCCTTCCCTAGAGGACCACAAAGTGTCCTGTAGCCCAAACCAAAGGCAAATACCATGAAAGTGCAGGCACCTAATTTTTGGCCTGAATTAACCTTCGACTCCATCTAATCTATGCTCAGCCCTTTAAACTTGGGAGATGTTCCAGCAGCCAAACCACAAATGAGCTCCTTGGGAATGGTAACTTTAATCTTCCAAATGGAATTGGAGAG